TGAGCAACAGTGTCTAGAGAGGGAGTCCATTCCTGGCATTGGATTTTCTTGTTGTTGTTAGGCTGTGATGTCTAGAAGGGGCAATATCTTCCTGTTAAAGGGGAACATCTTTTAATCTCTTTTATATTGTACATATATACTTTAAGAATCTTCTATAGTGGTAGGTTTCCATATAGCTTTTTCTAAAGGCCTTTAGTTTTACTTATGCCTCCCACACTCCCCCTCTGCCCCGCCCTCCCTGCACTCTTCTGACTCTAACTTTATCTTCCCCTTCATATCATTGCATTTTACTGCCCCTTCCAGGAAGCCGCCCCAATGCCCATTTTCTAGTTCCTGACTTTGGATTTTCAAATTAAAATATGAATATCTAAGATTTCGAAGCTAGCATTCAGCCATGAGAGAGAAATGTGACATTTGTCTTTCTTCGACTGGGTTGTCTCATCAGGATGATTGTTTCAAATTCTATCCATATGCAAGTGAATTTCATAATTTCATTTTTAAGATCTAAATAATTTTTCCTTTATATATCTATATCTATATCTATATCTATCTAATCTATATCTATATCTATATCAACTTCATCATCCATCCATCAGTTGATGGGTATCTAAATTGTTTTCCAATTCCTGGCTATTATGAAAAGGGCAGCAATGAACATGGATGAACGGGTATTTCTGGAGTTGTGTACAGGGTCTTTGGGCATATGCTCAAGAGTGGCATGGCTGGATCATATGGTAGATCAATTTTGAGCTTTTTGAGGAATCTCCACACAGCGGCTGTACCAGTTTGCACTGCCACCATCGGTGGATAAGTGTTCCACTTTCTCTACATTCACCAGCATTTGTCATTAGAATTGACAAATTGACAAATCGGCCACCTGAAACTAAAAAGCTTCTTTACAAAGGACACCATCATTTGAATGAAAAGACAATCTACAGAATGGGAAAAGAATCTTTGCTAGCTATATACCTGACAGAGGGTTAGTACCCAGAATATACCAAGAACTCAAAGAAATAAACATAAAAAAAAAAAAACAACCAAAAAGTGGGACAAGGAGCTGAGCAAATGGCTGAGAAAGACTTTTAAAATGTTCAACATCTTTAGCCGTCAAGGATATTGTCTTAGTTGTTACACTCTGACCAATACCAACTTGGGGATGAAAGGGTTTATTAGGCTTACATCTCACAAGTCACAGTTCATGGGGAGCCCAAGGTAGGAACTCAGGGCAGGAACCCAGAGGCAGGAGCTGGAGCACAGGCCATGGAGGAACACTGCTTACTGGCTTGCTCCCCTGGCCCCTGCTCAGCCTGATTTCTTATGCAATACAGGCCCACCTGCCCAGGTGTGGCACCACCCACAGTGTGCTGGGCCCTCCCACATCACTTAACAATCAAGATGCCCCACAGACATGGCCACAGGCCAGTCCAACAGAGGAAATTCCCCAATTGAGACTCCCTCCACCTAGGTGTGTTGACACTAAAGCTATCCAGCAGGGAAATGCAGATTGAAACCACTTTGAGTTTTCATAGAACCCCACTCAGAATGGATAAGATTCAAAGAAAGAAAGAAAAATTGGTTTTAGAAAGCATGAAAAGTGACTCAGGGAAGAGAGGATGTAGCATTGACCAGCAGCTTGGGACTTCTGGGAATGTATTTGATCAATAATGGAATCCAGGAACTTTGTCCATGACTCAAGGTTGCCCTGAGGGTAGTGTGCTCTCCAGAGCTTTCAAGCTGTAGTTGTGCTTAAGCCTAGAGCCTCATGGACTTAGCACTGGCCCAAGGCAGAATAACCAGGATGCCCTCAGACCTAGAGCTGTGTCCCACAGCAAGAGATGAATTCAGAAAAGTCTAGAGGGTATGCTGTATGGCTCCGATGCCTCTAACATCACCCTAAATGATTTTCATGAGTGGGAGTATAAAGGGTCAGCGATCAGCAGGGCCTACAGGGACTTTGAAGAAACTTCAGGTTGATTCATTAGAGTTTGCCATTTGCATGGGTTAAGATGCTTCCCTCAGGAAGGCTTAGCCAGCTGACTGTTCTCACTCTTAAAGGCTTCACTGCACAAGTCAAGGGTTTCTGGAATATTCCTTCTGTCATGAGATGAAAAGAACACGTTTTACAATGTGAGATGGTAGTCTCCATCTCTGGGATTTTGATTTGAAGGAAAATCAGTGATAAGTAAAAAGTTGGCAGAGAATGAGTAAATGGAGGAGGAGCATAGATAAAACTCCATCAAAATAGGGTTTATTAGCAAAGGAACACATGGGACAGATTCCCTTCTGGTCAGGGAAAATGTCTGCCCGGGTCTTGAGCTGGGGTCTTTTAAAAAGGGAGGCTTCTGCTTCCTGCAGAAGTCTGGAAGATGTATTTTTTTTTAAAGTTGGGGGCGGGGAGTGGGAGAGCAGGACTGTTAAAACCTGTCCTCTTTAGAGATCAAAGGGGAAGCCTGCTGTGTTGGCCAAACAGTGGAGAAAAGTCTGCTTCTCTTGACTTCAAAGACCAAGGTGCTTATCAGCTAGGTTCCCTTTTCTCAGGAGCAGGAGAAGTCCTTGGGATGCCATTGGTGAGGGGGCAGGGCTAGCTGAACCTTAACAATCAGTATGCCTTGAAAACTACAAGAAGCTGGTGTGGCTTCTTAGGTGTGGTTGTAGATAAGGACCATATTAGTCATTTCCACAAAGAGCAGTCTCTGTTAAAACCTGTTTCAAGGCAGCCAATACCACATCTTGCTTCTTCATCTCAAATTATAAGAAATAGGAATTCATACTCCCTGTCTCGTCTCAACCTCTTGTCTCCTGTGTACTCCTTAAGCAATAATGATAGTGTGTCTGTATTGACTTTCCCACTGAGCTTGCTGTTACTAAGTTCTGTAGATAAATCTCTGCTTTATAATTTAAACTTCTTAAATGTTGACTCTGAAACCTATTCTCTTCTTGAAATGCACTCAAATAGGTGAATATGTGTCTGTGTATTACCTATGCATTATGTTTTCAGTGTCCTAGTTTTCCTTTTTTATAATCTTTAATGCCCCACATTCCTCCACTCGATCATGTGGGATCATATATTTCTAGCTTTACATTTCTCATAGTAGTTAGGTCTTTCTAGAAAGGTGAGAAAATGCTGTTGAAAACTACTGCATTGAATGGAGTCAGGTATCCAGGAAAGATTTTACAAATCCACAATATAGTAATTATAATTGGTAGAGTATGTGTTTATGGAAAGTCATGAGGTTCATTTGCAAGTTTATGTTTTAGATGTGATCGGTTCCCTTTGATTTTTGGCCCCACTCTGTCTTTTACCCGCCTCTCACTGATGGGAGCATTGCCCAAGATCTCATTCTTATATTTCTCCTCACTGTGTATCTATTTTCATGGTTCCCATGTGCTGATAATCATGGCTGATCTCTGGTGCAGAGGTTTCTCTCACATCCCAGTTACATGTTGCAGTAAAGGATGGAGAGAGTGTTGGTCACTCTGAACAATGCCTACTGTGTTTCTTTTCTGCCTCAAACATACACATATGTGCTTCCCAGCTCTGGGCCTAGCTTGTGACCCCCACCTGACTTCCATGAGCCATTGTTCATGAACTGCAAACACATTGTTCATTTGTTTAAGGTCATCACCTTACCTTGGCCTCTTACCCTCCACACTGCATCCTAATAAGTACTCAGTAAACATCAATCTGTTGCCTTTGGTGGTTTGCTTTACTGCATGCTAAGCAGAATCTGCCCTTGAGGATCTTCCTGTAGTTTCTGTGATATTGTTGGTAGCCAGAAAACTTTGTGATTCTCCTGAGCTGGCTCTACCAATATAAGCAGACACCATTTTCTCCAGGAAGCATATAACTGGTATGTATTTGTTTCCCTATAATTATTATAGGAAAATGGTGCTATTTTCTTTATTTTATTTTATTGGAAGTGCTGGGAATTGAACCTAAAGCCTCCCCCATGTAAGGCAAGTGCTCTTCCACTAAGCTATATTCCTTACTAGACACTGCTTTTTAAAAATGAAGATTCATGTCCCAGAAACTATAACACTAGGAAGTCCATACTTTTAAAACTAAGCTGTCTAATTTTTAAAAAAGTCCCCAAATATAATCTTCACAGAATGAAAATTATAATTTCTTATCTGATTCTTATTTATATCCTTTTTTATATAGAGAGGTTACTAAATGAACAGGTTAACATAAAAAACTTTGGGCTCACTCATGGCTAGGGATGTTGTTAATGAAACATTTCAGGATATTGTAATCCCTCAAGCCTCAATATCATATAAATATAATAATTTGCCAATGCTGTTTTTAATTTCCAGAAATATCTGCTGATTAGAGCAATTATCTGATTGTCATTTATAAGCTTACATGTAATTTAATTTAAAAGAACTAAGTGTAGCAGAATGGTATGGTTGTTTAATAATTTAAGGTGCGAGGGCAAGAACAATTAACACAAATGAGGAAAATTGGGCATCAAACCCATTTATTCTTCTTCCTGCTCTATTAATTTGTGATCATCTGGCACAATTGGTGGTCTCACTTGGTTTAATTACCATGAAGTCTACAATTTAGCTAATCAAAATTTATCATCAGTTCCTCCAAGAAGGTAGCAAATGTTTTATAATTTTGTAGTTATTAAAATACAGGATGTGCATATTATTTGTACACATGCATAAACAATTCTAATCATATAATTTCTTTGAGGAAAAATATCTTGGATTATCACTCCATTTGGCTTGTGGGCTAAATCAATATAAGAATGTAAGAAAAACAATATAAGAAAAATTAGTGACTTTGGGGAGCAAGGCTTCTGCCTGATATTTTATTCTTGGTGTTTTGTTTCTTTTGCTTGTAAGGGATGTTCACACACTATATCCTGTATTGTAATTTTAGGAATTTCCTAAAAAATGTATAAAATGAATTTTGTAACCACTGAGAGTATAAGACTAGAAAATGACATGAATTTTTCTTGGAAATAAAAGCTTGGACTTTTTTTTCTTCTCAGCTCCGGAAGGCTATTATAGATCATGTATCAGATTCTTTCTTGGATACAACAGTCCCCCTTCTGGTTCTCACTGAAGCTGCTAAGAACGGCCGAGAAAGGGAAATAAAGGAGTATGCCACGATATTTCATGAGCACACAGGCAGGCTTGTGGAGGTAAGTGTGCTGCAGCTGAAACGACTTTTAAGTCCAGGAAAATGAGGCTCCATTCTCCTCTTATGGTTGAATTCTGCTCATATAAAAACCTTTCTTGATGTATTATAAACATTACAGAGTAGGACCTAGGTATCATGTCAAATGGTATAAGCCACTGCTATTGACTTAGAAGAGAAGCAATTTATTTATAAAGATCCATGAAACTGCACCTACTGTTGTTTTATTTTTATTTTCTCCCTTTTATTGAATTTTTGTGAATTTTGTACAATGTATTTTGTTTTGTTTTAGTTTTTGAGGCATGGTCCCCCTGTAGCACCAGCTGGCCTGTGGCTCGTTATGTAGACCAGGCTGGCTTTGGTCTCATAGAGATCTACTTCACTTTGCCTCCTGAGAGCTGGGATTAAAGGCGTGCACCACCATCCCTGGCTTCAACCTTTGTACGATTTTGATTATATTTAAATCCCTTCCTTTATCTGCACTTCCCCCTTTACATCCCCCACATATACTCATATACTCATATACACACACACACACACACACACACACACACCTCAGTTTGTAGTCTCGGCACTTGCAGCCCCAACAGTGGCAACTTTCTTTTTCGTTTCTAATTGAATTTTTATGAATTTCATACAGTATATTTTGATCATATTTAGATCCCCTACCCTGCCTGCACCCTCCACTGTCTCCTGTATATATATATATATATATATAAAGGCCTATAGAGTCAGGTTTGCATCCCCAGTGCCCTTTGGCATGGGTTCACCCACTGGAGCCTGATTAACCTACCAAGAGTCTCATTCTTAAAAGAGACTGACCTCCCCCTTCCAGTAGACCTCAGTTGCCAACAGCTCTTTAGGTAGGCTGGGGTTTCTTACCCACTTCCCCATGTCTGTGCTGGGACTTTGTCTGACTGGAGCTTACCTGGGACTTATGCATGCTGTGAGTTTAACTGCTCAGCTGTCTGGAAAACTGTTTTATTTTTAAATATGTATTTTGTCGTGATGACACAAAAGAACAAACTACTTAGTTTTATCCTTATAAATATTTCCTTCCCATTTTAGCTTAAATATACTGAATATTTTATTGCATGAATTTTATTGTTTGACTTTCATCTTTAACATGGATATTTTCTTTCTTCTGGTTTTCCAAACAAAATCATCTATGTAGAGCATTTTGGGGGCTGAACATTATGTTTAAAACAAGACAGGAGTTGTACAGGCTTACAGAGAGCCATGAATAATTACTTAGGAATAGTGGACTGGCAATGAGAGGTGGTGAAACCATAATTCCTTCTACTTAGAAACTGGAGGCATGGCAATGACCCTGTGATTTGGGGGGAGATGACTGAGGTTTTGTTAATAGATATGAACAGATGGAGAAGAGAGATTCTCAAGATGTAAACAGTGGAAGCTTTTGTACTGAGGACATCATGAACCAGAGACTATGAACGGGAGTTTCTAGTGTAAGTTAAGTTTCTCCCAAGTCCAGGAACCAATGACTTGGAGAGGACAACTCTATTCCAGGGCTGAATAGTAGCCACCACTCATCAGTGTGGCTGTACCAGCCTTTACTGATGCTGTCTATTCTAATTGTATTCATTTCAAACTGGTGATTAAACAGCTGACTGCAGCTCTTCCTCACAGCCATGGACTCTGCAGTGAAATGTGATTTGTAGGTAAAGGCTTGTAAAACTCATGAGTGAAAGATAACTGTCACTCAAATTATAATCCTAGTAGCAGAGGTCTTTTCATACCTTTCATGTAATCCATTAGGAAGAAATTCCCATGTAGCTAGCATATTTACTGTATATTCTTTTTGTATTTTAACCTTCACAGCTAGATAATGAAAAATAAATGGGTGAATAGTGAACACATGATTACTAAGATCCTTTCAGCCCCAACTGCCCTAACCTTAAATCTCCTTAGAATCTCTCAAGAACTCTGTTAGATGAGGCAAGTTTTATTATTCCAATCAGCATTTTATAGAAATAAAGTTATAAAACCCAAACTAGATTAGTGTCAGTGGTGAATTCAGGTCTTTAATTTGTAATGAACAGATTAAGCAATTTATTGTTTATCTAGCTTTGTTTATCTTCATGTACTCATTCCTCAAATATTTATTAGTGATGCCTACAGGAAAATGTAAGCAGCTTGTACAGGGTACATAGTTGAGCATAGTCCCTGACACTTGAAAAACATTTGTCTAAAAATGAGTTTTCACGCTGAAGTCACACCAAATTATGGGAAAAAAAATTCTTATGAGATACTTTCAAAGTAAAATTTGTTTTCTGCTGCTAAAGTTATATTTTTATTCCAATTTCTCAGCTTATTCTTTCTATGAAAAATATGTCTCATATACTGTTTACTGGAAAAAGACACTTTGGTTAAACTGTCAGTGGCAGTTGGTTAGGGCTAGAGACACAGGTCCAGGATTGCAGCCTGAGGAGCTGAGATTCTAGTTTGCATATAGAAAAGGATTTCAGGACAAGTCAGTGTGAAGAAGACTCAGAGCTTATTAGGACGAACTCCTAACATAGGTTTAATCATGGGAGTTAATAGAAAGAGAGGTGCTTAGGGTATGGGATCCTCAGAGCATACCCCTTAGTGTCTTTTTTAAAAAAAAAATTATCTGCACGAGTGTATTGCCTGCACGTATGTGAGTACACCCGTGTCATGCAATGCCACGGAGGCCAGAAGAGGGAGTCAGATTCCCCTGGAACTGGAGTTAAGGTCGGTTCGTAGCTGCCATGTGGGTGCTGGGAATCAAACTGGGTCCTCTGCAAGAGCAGTCAGTGCTCTTAACTGCTGAGTCATCTCTCCAGCCCTCCCCCCACCCCCCTTAATTGTATTTACAATTGTCCTATATATGGTTTTGGTAGATTCTGAAGTTACATCTCAAAAGTTTACTAAGGAACTTAAATGAGATCATAGGATGGCTCCTGAGGGACAATGAATTACCACTGGTAAGGTAGTACATGGGTCACAAGGGTTTGTATAAGGGAGTTAAGGAATACCTTTAGTATAAAAATGAAGTTTATAGTCTTGTTTGTGAGATTTGCAAAAATATCTGTTTACATCTGGCAAAATCTGGCCATACTCCATAGGCATTTAAACTCAGAGCGTAGGTGTGGTCCACTGACAATTTTACATTCTTATTTGAAAATATCTCTACTTAAAAGGAATGTCCTCTCTGTTAGCAAGCCCCCTAGCAAATGTTATTGCACCAGTATTTGTGACTTGCAGCTGGGGAGATACCTCACCCACACTCCACAGTGAGAGGCTCCTTCCCCTTCCTGTCCTTCTAATTTCCCATATTTTTCTATCTTTCCCCAAACAACTTTGTTGGGTCTTTATGGCGGCTGCTTTCGGAGAACTTACATTTCTGAAACATCCTGCAGTAAAATGATATTTTGCAATTTACGTGAAGCTGGAGTTTCTTTAAATAAGGTTTCTCAAGGAGTGCGTCTCTTCATGACATACTGCTCAAGTCTTCCTTCAAGAACATTTTTGAATTCTACCTTAAATTTTCAACCAAATGATACTTCACTATCATGTAGGCAGGGTTCTGAAATTATACCTGCTCAAGGATGTTGAGACTGTCCTATTCCGTGTGAACATTAAAGAGTAAAAGCTTTTGGAATGACGAGCTATTGGGAGACAAAGACTGGGTTTTATTTAAACCTGAATGTTCTCTTAATACAGTATGCGGTGATTATGGAGATCTGCTGTGATAGCTCTGGTCTGTTACTTTCTGTTTCAGTGACTTGTTAATATGCAGAGAAATCCCTATACTTAGTCATTTAAAGCAAGCATTAATTATAATCTCTTATTAATCTATGGTTGACAGGGAGCTGGTGATTCTTGCTTGGGTTTTCTCAGTAATGTGTCATTCTCAGGCATTGACTGGGATGGAGTTTACCAAAGATTTGCCTCAGTTGAACATACAAAACAGCCCGTTCCTGGGCCCACAGGTGTTAGTTACTAAACAGAAGTTGGCTGCTGGTGACTGGAGATCACATGTGGCTTTTCCACATGGCTTTGGCTTCTCAGAGAAGAGGTCTTAGGCCTAAAGAGCAAGTGAGAAACAGGAGGTAGTAGGTACTAGTCTTTGAATTCTGGGCCCAGAAAATGGCAGAAGGCCACATCTGCTGTATTCTAATGGTCAAGGCAGTGACATGGTCTACAGTACCAAGGGAGGAAAGTGGAGACTCTATGCTCAGTGGGAGTACAAACACATGTGGCCACCTTTAATCTGTCACTGCTGTGTCTCCCATAGGAATTTCATTTGCTTTTTCTTTGAGATGAAGTTTAGAGAAGATAAGGTCTGCAGTTTCTCCCAAATTGTTTTTGTTGTTCAATTGAGGGAATTGTGACTTCCTAAGAAATATAGAAACAAAAGAAAATAACAAAGGGGTTTTTTGTTTGTTTTTGTTTTTTTAAATGTAACTGCTTTATACGTTTCCATCCTCTCAGGAAGAGTTTAGCATTTATCTTCCAGGAAAACCTTCTTGGCAAGGAGCTTCCTAATGAAGGCAAGTGAGAAAATCATCATTAAATTACCACAAGCACCCAGACTGAAGTGCCAGTGAGAGGCTTGGGAAACAGGCACATTGAAATGTATGGGTTCCCCTACCAACACCCACCCAGACAATCACCCAGACCCATCTTCCACACAAACTGTGCAATTTGAGATAGAAGAGCAGGAAGCCTTAGCTTCAAAATGACTTCAAGAAAAAGCTATTTGCAACATATCTAGGTCTTGATACCTCACATGTGTTTGTCAGAGAAATCTATAATCAGCCTTAACTTGGGGAAGTAAGTCCATTTTTAAAGAATTCCTATCAGATCTTTGAAGAAAAACTTGGTCCTGTTAGAGGAACTCTTTAAACAATGGTTAATGTGTTACTTTAACAAAACGATAAGAGGATTGAACACAGAGTCTAAAGGGGAGCGTTAAGAAATTCCATGGTAATAGTGAGGAAACCGAAGGAATTTGGG